GCCCCGGCATGGCATTTAGACGCCTGGTCACTTGAGCCCTGCCCCGAGTCACCCGTGAAGCCACTTCCCTGGCAGTGAAGGTAAAGATGGAGGACGTGGAGATGTGGGAGGAGGCCGCCTCCTCCACTTCCCAGTCCAGGGGTGCTCGAGTGGGGGCACAGGAGGAGGACCTGCAGGAAGGCCCCGGGATGGTACGGCCTTCCCTCTCCCCCCCCTGCGCCTCCTCCCTCCTGTGCAGCCTTCAGCTCTTAGCTCCCTGCTCACAACCCGTGGCCACGGAGGATCCGCACTGCTGCCCTGCCTCGCACAGTCCGTGGTCACTGGGACAACCCCCACAGCGCCCAGCGATCCGGCGACCTCCGGGCTTCTCACGGTTCGTCGACGGGCGGGCCTGGCAGCTGCCCTCTCCCAGCTCAGCCCGGCGCCGGGGCGCTCCTTTCCACTCTGCAGCTCCGTCCGCTGAAGCCCAGCCTGAAAACCCCACTCTCCCATTCCACCGTCCACTCCTGGAGTGAGAGAATGAGAGCCTCTGGCCTCCCCCGTCTTATCTCTGGCCCTGCTCCCTTCCCCAGGGAGACCAGAGCCCACAGCCCTCCCCGTGGCTTCCCTGTGCCGGGTCTCGCCTGCCCTTCCGCCTCCAGCCCTGGCGCGTCGCTCCTGCACAGCGCTGCGGAGCCCTGCGGGGAAAGTGCCGCCCTCTCGTGGGCCGACGTCCCCACAGACCCCGAGGCTCCGCGGGCCCCAATTCCTGCTGCGCAGCCCCTCGTTGACATCTCCCTCCTACATTCCCTTCATGTCTGCCGCACGGTGCACCACCCTCCCTCACTCCTGGCGAGCCCTTGCCTTCTCGCTCTGAGAGAGAGAACGCCCTCATCGCCCCTCCCGACCCCAACAAGATCATCCCCCAACCACCCTTGCATCCTGTCCGGTTCCCTCCTCTGCTCCCAAGGGACAGCCCCTCCCCCTCCCCACCTGCTGCCCCCCATCGACCACCCCCTCTCCCTCTCTGCTGGTGACAGAGGACAGGGACAGAAGGGAACTGAGATGGACAGAGGCTTGCAGACAGTGCTGATGGGACTTGCCCATGAATTGGACGTCAGGACAAGAATGAGGGGATCCAAGGATGTCTTCTCCACCCAGGGTCCCTCAGGCAACTCAGATTCAATGTGCCCCGAGCTGAACTCACCCTGAAAGCTCAGGCACTTTGCCTCTCTCATCATTTTGTCTTAGGCTTCACAAAATACAAGTTCAATAACAACAACAAAACTTGACCGCATCATCTTCCCATCATCTTCCCCACTAAGCCGTCCCTCCTCCTCTTTCTCAGCCCTCTTCGCCGCCACCCTCTCCTCCCCCAGAGGAGGACGCCACACCCACCCGGCTGCCCAAGCCTGAGCCCCAGCATCAGTCCCACTCCACGGTCACTCCCTACATCCATTACGCCACCAAGTCCGAGGAATCAGCCACCTCACAGACCACCCTCGAACCTGGCCTTCTCTCCACCTGCCCGGCCCTCGCTCATTCAGGCCGTGCCCCTTCTCACCGGGGTCACCGCAATTCCTCCCACAGGACGTCCTGCCCACTGCCCTCCCGTGCCTTGTCCTCCGCGCAGGACATCTCTATCACGGGTCACTTTCAAACACGGATCCAATCATGCCCATCCTCTGCCTGACTTCCCTCCTTGGTACCTTCCTAGCTTTAGGTCCAAAGTTTAAATTCCCCAGCAAGACACCAGAGGTCCCTCCTGCTGAGCTTCAGCTTTCTTTTCAGCTGTTCCTCTACGGGCATCTTCCCTTCGCCACACGTGTCCCCAGCAACGTGCACGTGTCCAAGTTCATCGTGCAGCTCGTGACTAGAGGCTTTGCACATTTGCTCCTGTCTGAACCCCACCCCCACACATACACTCACATACCTTCACATGCACACCCATACACACGCGTGCACACGCATGCATGCACATGCACACACATCTTCCCTACTGTTTCCCCTAATTCCTACTTCCTCCTTACAACTCTGCCCTCACACCCTCCTCCAAGATGCCTTCCTGGACACCAGGCATAGATGTTCCTACCACTTGCTCCCACAGCACCTGCTGGAGGGCACACCTCCATGGCACCGAGGCCGTCCCTGAGTTTTGAGGCTGTTTCCTTCTGTAAGGATGTCAGCCCTTCAGGGCAAAGGCCATAATCGTTTTCGTCTTCATATCCTGACACCCTAACACTGAGCCTGGGATACAGTGAGAACTGTATTTGGGCAGCATTTACTATATGACAAAAATGATTTTACATTCTCAAAGCAACTCTTTGAGAAGTTACTCTGATATTTAAATGTGAAGTAAAGGAGGTTCATAGAGATTAGAGACGTGTCCAAAGCCACATAACTCAGAAGTAGTAGCGTCCAGATTGTGTTCAAAGGTTGCCTCACTTCCGTGCTCTGCACAATTGCATCATGTGTAGCTAGCATTAAAGACACACTGAATGGATTCAGCGACTACAGCAGTGGCTGTCCAGGTTCAGAGGCCATAAGAAAAGGCCCAGCCTCACGGGCATGCAACCTGTGCAGCCCCACGGGGCCCATGCTTGGCTGAATCCTCTGCTGCCACTGTCTTGAAATTCTAGCAATTTCTGAACAAGGAGCTCCATGTTTTCTCCTGGGTCCTACAAATTGAGTCACCAATCCTACACTGGTGAACGTAAGAACACAGGAGGCATGTTTCCATGCAGATTCCCAGGTCCCTTCCAGCGCTTCTGACTCAGGCCGGCTGGGGCAGGGCCGGTGATGACGAGCGTCTCCATTGCCGCGTCCTGGACGGCTCTTACCGCAGGATGCTCTCTCCAAGGCCCGGCGGACGCTCAGCCGCAGTTCCCTGTGCTGCCACATGGTGGCAGGAGAGCCCCGGCGTTTGTCACCTGCGAGCTTTAAACTTTAAAGAGGCGCGGTCAGTTCCAGGTGAGAGATCTGCTTGGCAGCTTCAAGATCCCTGCGCAGCCAGCCATCTGCCCACACGGACGCAAGGATGCTTCCTCTCAGCAAGGGTTTCCAGGTCACACAATCCTTCAGTTAGTGTGGTTCCTGTAGCTAAAGCCACAGCAGAGGTGCTGCTCGCACACCGGTAAAAACCACCTCTTCCACTGTTTAGACCACAAGAGCGCTGTGGGCAAAGGACAGGAAACGGCAGGGAGAAGCCCTCTGCAAATCGTTACAGAAAGGTCCGTGCAAGCGACCTTGGGGCGTGAGGTCTGGCAGAGGGCTGACCCAGCCACGCCTGGGTAATCCTCCCATTTTACACAGCCCTGTAGCTTCCCAGGCACCTTCCCACACATAGTCACCTCCACACCACCCTCTCGCTTGAGGCTGAAATCACCCCCATGAGACGGATGAGGAAAACCGGGGCTCAGACAAGGCGTGTGACACCGCCCGGGCGATGGAGTGGTACGTGGGGGGGTTGGATCCAAAGCCAGGCGTCCCAACTCCGGCATTCTTCTCGCCTCATCCCTGGCCCACAATCACCTTGGAACTTAAGAAAAAAAGGCCCTGCCTGGGCCAGTTAGATGGGATTCTCGGAGGGTGACACACTGGCATCAGTTTTTTTTAAGTGCCCCTGTGGATTCAAATGTTCGCCAAGGTTGAGGACCACCGCGCTTCCCGGGAAAGCCAGCACGGCTGCCCCGCCCAGGACAGTGGCCCCAGGTGCAGACTGTTTTTTACAGGAACCGAGGGGATGAGGGAGGAGATGGCCAGAGCACAGACCCCCCACCTTGGGCCCAGATCCAGCCGGTGCCCAGAGCACCCCAGGCTCTCGCCCAGCCTCCAGCCTCCTCCCACCCACAGGGGCAGCAGAACTCAGGGGTGGACGGCTGCCACACTCTGGAACCAGGAGCCCCCAGCCCCAGGGCAGGACAGTTTGGACACTTCCGGGGAACTTTTCCTCATCTGTACAGTGGAATTACTAATATAATAGCACTTCTTTCATGGGGTCATGAGGATTAACTGAATCAATGTCCTTTCAGTGCAGCCGGCCACACGCTGGCCTTGGCCTGGTGCAGCCCAGAGCACTCCCTCTTGGCAGGGCTCTGTCCATTCTTGGGGATCTGATTTCCTTGCACTCCAAGAAAGCTCATCTCGTGCCTTTTCTGAGGGTTTCTTGCTTTCCGCTCATCTCACACCTGGTAAAGGCCCAGGTGTGCCGCTGCCTCTCAGACTTACTAGGTGGACAGTCTCTGTGGCCAGCAGGTTGCGACTGCAGACATAGAGGCCTGGCTCTGTGCCGTGTGCTAAGGAGGGGACAGGGTGGATGATGGGCCCTAAGAGCTGAGCATTCCTCCCCACAAGGTCCATGCAAAGCAGGGGAAGCCCCTGGGATTCACCAGGGTTCAGGGGCTGGCAGAACAAGGGGCAGAGCTCTGATACAGACCTTCGCCTAGGAAACAGGGCCCATCTGCTCTGCCTCAGTTTCCACATCCCCTCAGCCTGTGCTCCTTCACAGACAGCCCTTGATTTCCACTTGACATGTGCTGGTGTAGGGGCCAGTTACGTGCACCCCCCAGAGAGCAGCGCCTGGACTCTCAGTGGTGACACCTTTGTGAACATGCCAGTCAACAGCCCCGGGCCTTTTCTTTTGGGGCCGAGTTGAAATGTCTCACCCGGCGAAGGAGGGAGCTCTCCTTTCTTTCAGTGGCCGGAGAACCCCAATGCTTCCCATTCCTATCTCCCTTTGCAGTGTCATCCAGAGGTAGGAGACAGGAAGACAGGCCTGTGCCCACCTCTGCCTCCACCCCAGGACCACCCCGTCCCTGCAAAGCCTCATCCAGGGTCCAAGCAGGGAGACCCCAGGGGCTGCACAGGAGGGTCCACTCTAGATTCAGGAGATGGGCTTCCTCCTTTCCCTTTTACAAATGAGAAACTGAGTCAGGAAAAGCTGGCTGGGAGGAGGCTTCACGGGCCTCTGAATCCCATCCCCAGAGAGGTCCCAAAGACTCAGGCAAGAGACACATACTTTATTTTTCCTTCCTTTAATTTTAAGCAAAAGAGACACAGGGGTTCAAAAATAAAAATTTCTTTTTCCCCCCTCCCAAAGCTTTACCCCAGCTCCCCTACGGCAACCCCCTTCCTCCTCAGGGGGAAGTAAGAAGGGGGGGGTGCAGGCATCTCCAGCTGAGAGGGCGGGGCAGGGGAGGGTGCCGAGCTCGGTGCTGGTCTCTTGCCAATATAAATACACAGGTCAAGACTCCTGGAAGGTCCCCCACCACCCACCACCCAAGCTCTCTCCGTTTTCTGCCGGTGTCTGGAGAGGGGGTGGGGCGAGGGCCAGGCACCGGCTGGCTGTGGTTTACTGCACCCGCTGGGTGTGCACCCCGCGAGCCTCCTGCTGCTCGTTGTAGAAGAGATGACACTCAGGGTCCCCCCGGATAGTGGGGGCTCCCTGGATCAGCTTCCCGGTGTTGGGGTTCACACACCAGCACTCCCCACGCTGCCCATTCAGAGACATCTTGCACTGGGTAGAGAGGGGAAGAGAAGAGAAAAGTGTGAAGTGACTCCTGCAGCCAGCGGTTCCTTCCTCCCCTCAACCACATGCTTGCTGGGCAGCTGCCCTGTGCTCAGCCGGTGCTGCAGGGTGGGCTTCCCAATGGCGAATGCACATGGGGACACTTGCTAAAGTGCAGATTCCCATGCAGGAGGTCTGCGGAGGGCCAGAAGTCCTGATGGCTAACAAGCTCCAACGTGACGCTGACACTGCTGGCCCAGGGACCACTCCGATTAGCAAGGCGTTGGGATGCCCAAAGGCAAAAAGACTGAGTCCCCAGCCTCAAGGAGGTCCCACCCAGTGGAGGACTTGGTATGCTAGATCTTCACCATAGTGTGAGATGAAAAATCTCATGTCACAGCAAGTCGATATGTGCCAGGCACTGTGTTAGCAACTGACACGCTGCTCACTCGGTTTATACCTGACACAGAGATTCACTTAATCCTCACAACCACCTTGCGAATTAGATATGTTATCATCCCCACTTCACAGATGAGACCGAAGCACAGACTGGTTAGGCAACTTGCCCAAGGTCACACAGCTAGTGAGAGGCAAAGCTGAGATGTGAAGCCAGGAAAGCCGAGGTGCATTGGCTTAAGCCCACCTCTCCTCTCCAAGAGCCTCCCGCTGACCTGGACACCACGTGCGGTTGGCGGGTGGCTGGGTGAGTGGGGTCAGCATCTGACCCACCTGAGGCCAGAGAGAGAAGACACACCGCAGCCTGGCAGCTGGCACCCTGATCCCTGTGGTCACAGAAGTCTGAGTCTCCCGCTCAGCTCAGACCTCAGAGGACTCCGGGTATGCCCAGAGCCTGGGGCCGAGGAGGAGCCCCTCCAGCCCCGGCAGGCACCCGTGCTCACCTGTTTGAGGTTGTACAGGCCATGCTTGTCACAGTTGGGGATGTGCAGGGAGTAGAGGTGCTCCAGAGGGCCCCGCTCGTCTGGAAGGCGCATGGTGGAGATCCGCTCCAGGACCTGGTCCAATTCCTGCTGGCAGGGGGTCTGGGAGGACAGACAGGCACAGAGGACGCGTGGAGTGAGAACAACGGGCCACAAACACCAGTTCTGGAGGCACAGAAGACCTCCCCAAGGCCACACACGAGGAGGTGGGATGAGGCACTTCTGACACCCAGCCCAGGGATCTCACTACCATATTGTCATGCCCAACCCTCCTCAAAGAAAATCGCATGGACGTGAAGTTTCACTCCTCTCCTTGCTCTGTGACAGTGGCTTCCGTGGGTCACAATGGGCTCTACTTGCAAATACTGCTCCAAGTGGTCGTCTCCAGAGAAGCCATACCCCAGACCAGCAGCCGAGCTCCACTCCTTCCCATAACCCACCCAGGGCCACGCCCCGGGAGGGCAGAGCTGGGCGGGGCAGAGGACAGGGGCAGCCCAGGGAGGGAAGCACACCCCAGCAACAGCCAGCCAGTGTGAGGGGATCCACCGTCACCCCCGGCGTGCCTCCTCTTTGCCTGTGTCCCAGAACCACACAGAAATGTGCAGGTTTCAGAAGCAGGGACTTCCAGAAACAGGGTGTGCCGTCCCTTTCACAGCCAGAGATGCTGACTGACCCAGAGGTCACCGAATGTGGTGGCAGAACTGGAAAGAAAAATGCTTTGCCGACAGGTAACACAGGACACCAGCCCCAGCTGAGACCCCCTCTCCACACGCTCCCACCCGTCCACCCGGACGCGGCCCCCACTGACCCTGGCCGGCGGCGGCCGCAGCTTCTTGGGCTCCTCCAGGCCGAGGTGGTGCTTGCCGCCCTTGCCCATCTGCCGGTGCTGCTCCGTGACCTTCTCCCGGAACACGGCCAGCTCCTTCATGCCCGACTTGAGGGGCTTCCGGCCGGCACTGCCTCCGCCCCCCAGCATGTTCATGGTCCCGTCCACGTGGTTCTCCACCAGGCCTCCCTCGGAGTGGTCATCGCCATTGTCTGCCGAGAGACAAAGGGAAGAAGAGGTCCATCTTCCCAGAGACGCGAGCCCTCCAGGGACCACGTGGACCCCTAACAAGGACAAGGATGGAGATGACCAGCACCTAAGAGCACTGACCACACACCAGGGCCCGCCCGTGCTAGGCGAAGACGTGAATGATCCATTTCAGCTCCGCAGTAACTCTGACCTGGTGCCATTAGCACTCTCCCTGCCTCTCACAGACGGAGACGGCAAGGCTCACAGAGGCCAGTTACGGGATGCAGACCACAAACCTGACAGTGACAGATCCAGGATTTGCATTCAGACTGTGCAATTCCAGAAAAATGACAAGGACACCTACTCTGTTCCGCCCCTACCCGCTGAGACCGGGTGAGGGCAGAGGAGCACAGAGGGCGCACCTGCCAGGCCCTCACCGTGGAATGGACCGAGTCCTTCCTGGGTGGGACCTCCCAGATTCACCCCCACTAGGCCCAGGTTACGAAGTTCATCATTTATGGTCAAAGGGTGCTGATTAGGGGAGCTTTAAAAAACTACGCCACAGAGATCACCGGGCCTGTCTGGCGAGGGGGTGAGAAGGCAGAGAGCCTCGCGGCCACCCAGAATCCAGTTGCTGACATCCCCTGCTGGGCACTCCCCTGCTGTCGCCCCAAATTGCCAAACTGCCCCCCAACAAAGTCCACACCTCGCTCTGCTCCCAGGCTGCTACAGCACTACACCATGGACGATTTTGTTTCTTTCTGTCCATCCCACCCCAACCCCATCACACCGAGAGCCCCAAGGACAGGAACTGTGACTTCCTCAACTCCGTAGTTTCAGCTCATTGCAGGGCATGAAGGCCGTCAAGGCGTTTGTTCTTAAACTTGCTGTGTGCACAGCCCAGGTGAAGGGGTCCTGAAAGCAGACCCCACCTACCACGGTCTCACTCTGGCTGCCGCACAGCCAGCCAGGGGAGGGTGGGAGAACCCCAATCACACAGCAGAGTTGTGAGCAGGGAGACAAGCCCAGCAAGCTGTAGAAGGGCAGGGACGCAAACCACCCGGCCCGGCCCTGGCCCCTTGGAGACACAGCAGAGCAAACAACCCCAGACCACGCCACCCAGAGCCACTCGTCTGCAGGTCCCAACAAGATCTGGGTGGGTGCAGAGGGGGTGTTTTTCAACAAATCTTGCATATTTTCTCTCCCTCTTTAATGTGCCTTCAAGCCGTACAGCTCTGATAGCACAAATGAATGACTATCAAAATATAATATTTCTACACAAGGGTTTCAGACAAGGCACCTGGTATTTGGTGGTCCCTTCAGAATCCAGGCACAATGTGGTGGGCTCAAGTGGCCACCCTGCTGGGCACTTACCTTAGAAGGGGGCTGGAAGACCCTTGCCGGGTTGCGGTGGGCTGTGTGGTGCTCACTCACTCACCTCTTCCAGGCCAGGTAGGCACCTGGCGTGGCACTACAGCAGCGCCTGCTGTCAAGGGGTGGCCAGCATGGCCCCGCATGCAGAATCACCCAACACAGGTTTGCCTCCACCCCTTCCCCTCCCACTGGGCCTGACACTGGCCGGTCCCCACTAGCCACACAGCAGCACCCCTTCAGAGCCGGGCACGTAGTCTCCAGGGTAGCAGCCTTGTCAAGGGGCCACACTCGGGTTAAATCCCAGTTCTGCCACTTTCTATACCACCTGCTTCCCCGGCAAACTTCCAACCTCTCTGTGCCTCTGCTTCCTGAACTGCAAATTGTTGAACAAATAATAGTTTCGACTTCAGAGAACTGTTAGGAGTATTTTGGAGGCAAAGCAGTTAAAATATGACCTGGGACGTGGAAATTCTGCTGGTGGTTACTCCTTGGATGATGAGGATGAGGAGGGTGGCACCAGTTACCTGCTACCCCGCAGTGTGGACCCCACCAAGAACCAGGAAGCAAAGGAAAATGGGCCTCTGGGCATCCTAACAGGTGTCACCATGTCCGTGCATTTTACAGTCCTGGCATTTTCCACCCAAGATGGGGGCACAAGCACCACATGAGAAGCTTGACGGTTCCAACAACATTGCTCCAGTGAGCCTGGTTTCCGAGGCCACCACAGAAGAAAATCAACAAAATTAAAAGGAGATAGAAAGAATGCATGTGGACAGTGGCAAGAAGTATCAAATGGCAGGCAGGAACGAGGACACTAAAAAAACCAAACACAAGAACTCTGGGGACAATCCCTGCATGGCAAACAAGGCCACATCATCGATGACCCCTGGGGATTTCTACGTCTGACAGCCCAAAACAGGACTTGCGTTGATGACGACAACCACGGGACATCAGCACGGGGGAGGGGGTTAAAATTTCATGTACTCAGCATTAAAAAAGACTTCTATCCAAAATTGTTAAATTTTAGAAAAATAACACTTGAAATATTTCAATGTAAACCTCTGAAACCTGGAAAATTCTTTTATCTAGAATGGTTATTCCCTAGGGGCTCTGGGTTTTGTGCTAAAGGAAGCAAGAACGGATGAAATTCCGTTCCAACAGCCCAGCACCACCCGCCGGGAAAGGCGAATTCAGCGACTGCCCCAGCCTGGGTGTGAGTCCTGTTCTTGTATTTAATCAGATCCAGACACCAGCCCCGGAGAAGAGCCTTCTGCCTCCATCCCAGCCACCCAAGACCGACATGAGAAAGACAAACAGAAATGGGAGCCTCCAGGTGCCCTCACCCGAGCCCTGTGCACCTGAGATCACGCTTGGCATCACTCTCATCACCGCGCCGGCCCGGCTGGCTTCCTGCCCACAGACACAGAAGCATTTCTGGAAACCTTGCCACCTTTCCAGGGCTCAAGACTGTGTTGTGCTCACATGGTAGTTAGAGAAGACACCAGCTCTGGGAATCTGCTGGCACAGCACACTGCCACCACTTCTGGAACCTTCCACTTTGTGGGCATGAAGCCCATGACTCTCAGAAGTTCACCTGGCTCTGCCCTGTTGGGAAGAGGCTCGTCTGCCCGCCCAAGGTTTGGGTTAAGACAGCTGGTCTCCGTTGTGGTTATAATTACATGTTCTCTGGTTGAAGAAAGGAAAGGTAGCTCATTTTTAGTCCTAACCTGGAGCTTCTGGGAAAGCTCTGCTCACCCAAACCCAATGCCTGGAACATCCTGTGGCCTCAGGGTCTGTTGACCTCAGCAGCACTGCTAAACGTTTGGACCAGTCAATTCTTCATTGTAGGGGGCCATCCCGTGCAGTGCAAGGTGTTGAGCCGCATCCCTGGCCTCTGCCCACTAGCACCCTCCCCAAGCTGGGACAACAAAAAATGCCTCCATACATGGCCAAATGGCACCCGGGAGGCAAAATTGCTCCAGGTTGAGAATCACTGTTCTGGAGTCAGACTCTTTCCCAAGACCTGGAAGTTCCCAGCGCATTGCTGAAATGGCTCCAGGCTCCACTTTAAGCAGGTCTAGCTCAACTATATTCCCCACCTACGGCTAAGACCTTCACCACCCTCTGTCCCCAGCCACACCAGTCCACAGCTTCTCAGGGCAGGGAACGGGGGTCTTCCCTGGGCCTCCCTGAGGACCTGCAGCCTGCAGCTCCCTCCTCCCCGACCTCTCCCAGGCTCCTTCACCACAGACAGTGGCCAAAGAAGCATCCCTTGGCCGAGTCCTAGAGGTCAATCCAACGTTTAATCCTCACAGGCGCTCTACAAACTCTGGAAACAGGGGTGAGGAGAGAGAGGGGCCACACAGATCATGTGCTTTGGCACCTGAAGGCTCCGGGCAAGGCCAACTTGGCCACCGGGCACCACAGCACAGCACCTAGGGGCTAGAAGACCTTTTAAGTCTTTTAAACTCAGAAGAAAAAACTTAACTTTTAGATCAAAAAGTCTTGTTAAGGCCGGGCGCGGTGGCTCACACCTATAATCCTAGCACTCTGGGAGGCCGAGGCGGGTGGATCGCTCAAGGTCAGGAGTTCGAGACCAGCCTGAGCAAGAGCGAGACCCCGTCTCTACTAAAAATAGAAAGAAATTATTTGGACAACTAAAAATCTATATAGAAAAAATTAGCCGGGCATGGTGGCTCATGTCTGTAGTCCCAGCTACTCGGGAGGCTGAGGCAGGAGGATCGCTTGAGCCCAGGAGTTTGAGGTTGCTGTGAGCTAGGCTGACGCCACGGCACTCTACTCCGGCAACAGAGTGAGACTCTGTCTCAAAAAAAAAAAAAAAAAAGTCTTATTAATATACAATATTAATACATTTGTATTTATAAAACCAGTTATAAAAACATGGATTGAAAATATGTTTTTATGACAGAAGGGGCCCACTGAGGCAAAAGTGTCTGGGGTCCACAAATGTCACTATGCGATCCTGGCTCCCGGCCCCAGAAGGCAGGTGTTGCTCTCCCAGGCGTCCCAACCTCCCTGCAGTGAAGGTCAGCTTGTCCACCCTCATGGGGCCACCTAGATTCGAGGGTGTGTTTCGTTCCATTCCTTTATTGATCTCACCACTGCCACGAACATGCCAATAAGATGAGGAAATCCATGGGCCCGGTTTGCTGACACGAGCTCTTCTTACAGGGGGTGTAGCATCTGTTTCTTTCTCTGGAAGGGGCTTCAGGACCCAAGTCCAATGGCCAGCTCTGAACTTCACATCTTGAAGTAGAAGCCCAAGGGAGGGAAGCGAACTAGTTGACTGGGTGATCAGAAAGGATTACAGGCTGAGAAAAGCCTTGATTCTCTGTTACTATTTCTAGACCGAGAGGTTCCAGAATTCAGCCCCCAGAGTCTAACTGCCTGAGTCTGAATCCCAGCTCTACCACTTAGCTGTGCAGCCTTAGACAAACTCTTAAGCTCTCTGTGCCTCCACTGCTCATCAGTAACAAGAGGACAAACAGCGTCCACCTCCAATGGGCTGCTGGGAGGATCCCAAGACACCGCATGCATGTACAGTGAGTGCCTGGCACACAGTAAGAGCACACGGGATGAGCTCTTAGCTGCTTTCCTTTCCTCCCCAGCAGGAAAGCGCCCACACGGC